TTAAATGGAATACTTCAGGAAGAAGCCTATGTTAAACAACCTAAAGGATTTATTGATCCTAAATATCCGCATTATGTTTATAGGTTGAATAAAACCTTATATGGTCCGAACCAAGCTCCCGGAGCTTGGTATGATAGGTTTACTACATATCTCATAGAACATGGGTTCTCGAGAGATAGTACAGACAGAACCCTATTTATAAGACATATTGAAGATACCATCACGATAGCCCAAATCTACGTCGATGACATTGTCTTTGGTTCTCCCGTTGATTCCCTTGGTCAGGATTTCGCTGAGTGTATGAAGCATGAATTTGAGATGAGTATGATTGGAGAATTGAAGTACTTTTTAAGGCTTCAAGTCAAACAAACTGATGATAGCTTGTTCATTTCTCAATCAAAATATACTAAAAATCTTGTCAAACGATTTGGTTTAGACAGCAAGAAATACACTAGAAACCCCATGAGCACCAGTGTCAAGTTAGGTCATGATCCTACAGCTAAAAGTGTTGATTAGACTCTTTACAGAAGTATTATAGGTAGTCTACTTTATCTCACTGCTAGTAGACCTGACAATGCTTTTAGTATAAGGATTTGTGCACGCTTTTAGGCTGATCCCAAGGAATCTCACCTGAGTGTCGTCCGATGTATCATCAGATATGTCAATGGGACTGTAGATTATGGGATCTTGTACTCTCAGGACTCTAAACTTGATCTTGCTAGTTATTATGATGTCGATTGGGCTGACAATGCCGATAATAGAAAAAACACTTCTGGGGGTTGCTTTTACATCGGAGCCAATCTTGTTGCTTAGATGAGTAAGAAATAAAATTCTATCTCATTGTCCACGGCAGAGGTTGAATATATTACAGTTAGAAGCTGTAGGACTTAACTATTTTGGATGAAGCAGATGTTGAGTGACTATGAGATTGAACAAGGAACTATGACTGTGTTTTCAATACCAGTGTTATTAATATTTCAAAAAATCCTATTCAATACTCTTGCACTAAACATATTGATATTAGGCATCATTTCATCCGAGAGCTCGTGGAAACTCAAATAATTAATCTTGAACATATTTCTACTGAAAATCAATTAGCTGACTTGTTTACTAAACCGCTGGATAGGATTCAGTTCGAATTTCTTAGAACAACTATTGGTATTTGTGTGCCTTATTGATTGAATATAATTGATGCATGCTCGTACCCTACTATTGTGTGATTTTCAGTTATGCATGTATCATGTTTATTTATTTATTCTCATGCATTTTTACGTTCTATTTGTATGTTTTGGTTGTGTGTATTTTCTTTTATATTGTGTGTTTAATGCATTCATGTTATTTATTTTAATAAAAAAAGGGGGAAACTACAAAAGTTTTTATGCATGAAATTATTTTACAACATGATATACAATACACTTGATTTTGTTGATCATAATCAAACATCAGTTTATTTAGTGAGCTGTAATATAATTCTCATTGCTGGCTTAGGATACTTTTGGAGTATTTGATATAGGTCTCTTCATAGACCATATGCACTGCACACACTATGAATTTGATAGTGAGACTTTATCGCGTGTGTGAGATTCGGGATGGTAATCACATGTTAGTAGGATGACTTTGAACATGAATTGACCAACTTATTTAGACCTAAACTCGAATTTATCCCTACAATAATATATAGACACATAATGAAAAGTTTAAATTAAAGGAGCTCAATCTCTTATGCTACTTTTCAAAGCCTACTTGACTTGAGTAATTAATCATACGAGGTTTCTTATAACCTGGTGTTTATAATCATCTGACTTAGGTTAACCGACCTAAAACTTGTTACAGGGGTCATATTAGCCGCTTAATGAAAAGAAACTTGCACTTAAGATGAAAACAATATATATGAGCATTCCTGGTTACTGCTGTGATATAAGATAAATGTTTTATACTACAAGTCAGGGGAGACAAGATATTCTCCATAAAAATGAGCTTTCATGTGTAGGTTCTAATGTGCTTTCCTGATTTGACTTTCATCAGTAGAGGAATATACTTATTAGCAGTGATGTTTTGCTAGTCCTTTATCACAAAATTAAAGTTTGGAGTCCTATTAGAGGATTAGTGGCACTTAACACATATGGGTTACTGTTATCATTTACTCCATGGGTACTTT